TATCCGGAATTCTTCTCTAACTGTAACCGAATATGTCCAATAAGTTCACAATCTAGTATGATGTAGTTAACGTAAATAAAAGTGTCAATGTAACATCTCCATAAAACTCCTGAGAATCCAAGTATAATTAATGTCTAATATGTAGTCTAACTTTAGTGTCTATATATATAGTTGTCACGGAAATCTCTAGAACACTGTAGAAGGGAAGCTCCTAGAAAACTAAGAAGGGAAACGTCTAGAAAACGGTAGAAGTTTAAATTACACATCGTAGATTATGATAATTCCTGAATTATTATGTAAGTCAAATATAAAGTTCTAATCATTCCATCAGTATCTATGATTGTTCCAGTGATTTTTAAACTGCACAGTTATAACATTATTTTGTGAACAACTATAAGTATTATGTAAACATATTATACATGTTATAAGGCCACACAAAACAAATTAGGCCAAGATAAAAAATATAATACTTACAATACCATAACAATGTAAACAATTGTAAAAATGTAGACAGTGTTTGTCGACTACTAAAGAACCGACCATTCATCTTTTGTTTTGTTTTGCCTGCAAGAACAAATATTCTTGTTTCTAATTCAACTATTCATAATTATAGACCCATGCGATACCACGAACTTTTTGAATGATTGGAGAAGGTCTGTATCAGAGACAAATAACCATAACCTCTGTGATAACACACTGATCGAGGACTGGTATAGAGTTTTAAGTGGTGCTGGGAAAAAAATGCCCACCGTGTGTCCAGATACATTTTTTGCCTGTGGAACTTCAGGGCCAATATGGTTATCAAATGGTTAGTGTATAAGTTAAAACTTTCTAAACAGAATCTTCTGCATTCGAAAAAAAAACTTAACGCATATTAATTCATTTAATTACATATAATGATTTTGTGCACATATATGACCAAACCATAGTACATGTATGTAGATGTTTTAGTCAAGATACAATGCTCATGTTTCCCTAAGTAGCAATTACTAATGCTGTTCCTGATTATTTTCCTGGTGTTTAACAGTGAAGCAAGTTTTTATCTATCATGAAAATGTTTGAAGCTTTTCATTTGTTGCTGACTAATCAGTTGATGCTTGAATTTTATCATTTTATCATAACACTTGTCCTTTGACCAATTAGCAGCATGCATTTAAGTATTTGAACAATATTAGTGATTATTGTAATTTGAAAAAAAATATATGTTTTAGAAATCATATATTTCATGAGTATCCTTCAGCCGTACTTACACATGTACATGAAATTTGAACTGAACCAGTCCTTTCATAAAAGTTCGAATAACTCATCAATTGATCCAGGCTAATAATTTAGTACACACGAAGAGCGTTAACTTTCGTTTTTATTAGAATCATCAATTGTCCTCAAAAGAAAACAACTGGAAAGTCAAATCAATAATATTGTTGATGTCCTTGATAACGAAAGTTTATAACAGTTGTGCAAACTAATGATAAGGCAATCTGAGAAGAACACATTCGTGTTTGTATTTATTTGATAATTGTTAGCTCATCTGACTAAAAAGGCCATACGAGATACATGTACTGACATCACCTGATGTTCGTTGTCGTCGTAAACTTTCAAACAGATATCTTTTCTCCTAAAACTCCATATTCAAATTTACTTGAATGTTCCTTAGGGAATCAACTCAAGAAATTATATCTGGGGATTTGATCCATCAACAAACATGTTCGCTGTTACTAAAAATATAACATAGGAGATACAACAGCAGTTATTTGCTTACATCTCAAACACTAAAGCAGTTAAAACTGACACGAATAAGAAAATGAAATGGTAAAAATAACCTGAACAATTAGATCAACAAATAAGTCAACATTGTCGAAATCTTTAATTGACCCATTATAGGAGTTATCGGCCTTGAAAGATGATTTTTACCCATATTTTAAAATTGTGTGGTGGAAACTATAGCAGATACAGATTAACTTTAAATGGTAAAAATGACCTTGCAGAAAGAAAAAATAAGGTCAACAAAAAGTCAACACTGTCATTTCACCTCTGAGTTAGGACTTACTGCCCTTGAAGAATGTTTTGCCATTCTATGCAGAAAGAGAAAATCTTAAGAAAAATAAGATCTGTAAATAAGTCACTAAGACCATAGATGTATTAACCCATAGATAAAGCTCGTCAAAAGTTCCCTACTGTTCTGTTTTGTTAGATAAAAAGAACCATGACCAAATTGACTGTCTTTGATGTTTCATGTGTGTTGTCCTCAATCAAGTAACTCTAGCTACATCTCTTATCTGTTGATCTATATTGACCAGTACAGCAGATTAGATTTTCTTAATTGTCTTCTTGAGTTATGTCCCTTCTGTTGTGAGAGTATGTCTATTTTTAGCGCACTGGACAGACACATAAAATGGTGAAAAAATGGATGAAATCGGTCAGAAATTGCGCATTTTACAAGGGAAATATTGAACTAAATTCAAAAATGTTTTTTTAAGGCTTGTATCTTTATATTTTATAAAAACTATGTTCCTGTAAGTTCCTGAAAATGGGAATAGCACGTTGTTGAACTTCTAAAATACACCTTCTCTTTGATATGCTTCATTAAGGTGTCGAACTGCGTCGAATTTGGGAAAAAATTAATAAGAAAGTACATACTTTTCTTTATTTCATCAGTTTTTTCTATATTTTTAGAAGAGAAATTGTCTTTTTAAATCATTTTTATATTTTTACGAATAAGTTAGTTACTAAATCATAGATGTATATGTATTTTATACACCTATGGCTAAATTATAATAATTTCATTCGTGATGTTTATTAAATTAGTTTAAGTAAAGAGTTTTAGTGTATTACCAAAACATTCCATGTAAAGCATGGTAAATAAATATTATGGAGCATATATTCAACTTTTTCCATGTTTTTCTATTAATTATATTTTCAATAGACTTGTTTATAATAGTTAACATACATTGTTTAAATAAAGTTAAATTGTGATAAAAGATATAAAATCTAAAAATGTAAATATGTAAATATGATGAAAACATTAGTCCTGGCTAAAAAAAAAGATATCCGCATTTATTAATTTCGTTTTGAGAATAATTTGTAATATTGTTTTACCTACAAGAACATTATTTTTTCATGCCCAAGTCATTCTAAAATATATATTTTGATTTTATTTCTTTCTGATTTTTAGCATGTTTAACTGCTAAGTAGCTTTTGATTGTCAGTTTTCTATTGAATTTGTCTAGATTGTCAATCGGCATCTCAATGACCAACTGGTTCATGTCATTATCAGATAAGTGTGAAAGCCATTACAACGCACATAGAACCTTTGAAGTCAGTGTTGAGCTTTATCTATGGGTTTATACATCTATGCTAAGTCCAAAATCGACAATAATGGGAGTTACTGCCCCTGAAAGACGATTTTCACTAATTCTTGCTTTTTTGCAGATACTATTTTTTAGATAGAGAGAATCAGCAAAGAAGTTAACATAGCTGAACATGAGATATTTGAGTGTGTGTGTGTGTGTGTTAGTGTATGTGTGTGGGTGTGTATGTGTGTATGTGTTTGTGTATATATGTGTGTGTGCTTGTGTGACCTTGAATTTTGTATGTATGAATGTCCAGTATGAAAACCTAATTGCGATCGTTTAAAATTTACAAAGAAACCGCTCCCAACCTTTTATAAAAAGAAGTAACAGACACAATGAACATATTACACCAATCTTTTTATTTCAATAGTTTTGTTATCTAAAATGTTTAGTTTTATTGACAGACATTGTACCTGATGGTGAAGACATTTATCCAGCCATCGGAAAGACAGTAAAAAGAAAAGCATTTAAAGCCAGCTATGAGGGTTGCAATGTCACAGAATATAATATCTCGATAAAAAACTGCGACGGTTATTACGTGTATTATTTAGTACCAACAGGGGGATGTTATACTTCATATTGTTTTGGTATGTACAACATTCAATCTCTCTTATAATGCATTTTGTTTAAAAAAAAAAAAAAAAAAAAATTGTACATGTAACCCACTACAATTAGCAACAAAATAATTCTTTTCTTGTCGGCCCGAAAAGATTAATAAAACAGCAGTAGAAAATGTAAATTGTTGATAGATTAACAGGGTGCGGAAAGGTTTTTGAAACTTTCAGATAATCTACAATGGTGACTAGATCAATGCAATAGTAAAGTATCACGTGATATAAGTGGAAAAAATCCAGATGTCTCTTTCATTTAATTGGTTTATTTTATAAAAGAGATAAACCGTATATTTTAAGTTATCGCGGTACACTTGATGTAAACCATCTTAAGGTATTGTTGTATGTAGAAAATACTTAATTTATTAATTTGGTTGACCAGTGAACAATAGTGTACCAAAGAACGGGAAATTATAGAAAGTTCAGGTATTATAATCAGAACAATTGTTTTTTAAAATCGCATGAAGTCCAGACGTATGATGAGTAGTTGCGTCCATTGGCTTACACCTTCTGCTTTGCAGTAATCGACCTCGTTCGATTGCGAAGCCACATCTAATAAAAAATGTCAAAGTCAGGAACATAAAAAAGCCCAGAATTATTGCAGATCGATGATATTTGGCATATGATCTAAAAACTCACTAAAGATACAAGGCTTATAAGATCAAAGACTTAACTAAATATGTGCTTTGTTATCTGAGGAACTTTTAAAAAATAAAAAGAACTTGTAATTATCGTTTTCCAACCATTGATGTACAGTTGCATAGGGAATTATTGTTTCAACATGTTCATTCGGTTGACAATGTCATTTGATGAAGAATTATGGATTTACCAAAATATCTACTGGAATTAAAACCTCTTTATCAGACGAGAAACTATTATAATTTTGAACTTCGGCTTCAAAAGGAAGAAAGGTTGTTTTTAAGTGTTCTAAGTTTACTGATAGTTGAAAAATATATTTATTAACTTAGTTGCGAACGATTGTTACAAATAGCAATCAAATTTGTATAAACTGGATTCATACACGATGTTTATTTTTAAGGAGACCAGCTTCCATGCCCTAACGGGGAATCATCAGAAACTGGGTTTACCCCAGGCTGCGGACGTAAGTACTCATTTCAATGAACAAGTTTCGTAAAGATTTTATAAGCACAGGTACATATATTTTTTAAACATCATGCTCGTGTGCCAGTATGTCATTTTACAAGTTAGTTGATCTTTAACGTTTTTAGAACTGTTGACGAGAAAAAAAAGTTTTACCTATACTCCATGGCTTAGTATAACTTAAAAACAAATGTAAAATTGCCGACAGCCCGTCGAACGTGATAGAGACGCTGTATTTAATTGTTTCCCAAATAATGTCCAGCAGTACAAACTTTACATATATCAAACATATGTAATGTATTATATACCAATGTGTCAAATTCAATACAGTGTATTTGCTTACATCTCTAAATTTACCCGTTATAGTTTTATTGTTTTCTAATTCTGTTTCTCGTGGTACTGTCCAAAATGGTATCTTATACCCGTTTTCTATTAAATAATACCCCGAACTCTGTCGCACCTATCTCTTTCCACGAGTTTACCCTTTCTTTTAAATGCCCTACACCTGTACCGCTAACTAAACATACTTCAGTATGTGTATTTGTAATTGACTGAACATGAATGTTTGTTTACACAATAGGTGCGCTCGATTCTATGTTACTAAAAGTGCACATATTATTTATACTTATCTTATTCTTTTTATTATTCAACTTGATAAACTAATCTTTGAATAAGCAATGTAAATAATATTTGCATCACAAGTCCCTACTCAACTGTCTATGGAAAACAAAACACAGGAACAATTTAATAGAATAGTAAACATTTTAAGCAATTCATGATCATTAATCGTCCCTGTAAAATTTATTAAAGGTATTATAAATCGAAAATGAAATTAGTTTTACTAAATCTTTATCGTATAACTCATTTTGCGTTGGAATTTCGTTAATCCCACCTGCAAACGGCAAGTGCTAACCGTTATCATTACCGATTAGTTTATAGACTCGTTATGAAAATTAATAATACATGAAAATAATATTAACCAGTCAGGTTATCTTCAAATTATTAATCATTATCCAATCAGATCAAAGATTCGAGAGAATTGAGAGAATTTGGCATTAATTGACAAAATCAAAATCACGAAAATGCGAAATCGCGAAATTAAAAATTGCAAAAAACGCAAAAAAATCGAAATCTAGAAATCGCGAAAACGAGAAAGCGAAAACGCGAAAGCGAAAACGCGAAAAAGCGAAATGAATTCTGATCTTGCGTTTTCGCGATTTCGCTATTTCACCTCTGAGAATACAAAGGCGACAACGCAAAACGCGAAAAGCGATATTGGCTGCATCCGGCTTTTATACTATGGCATATGTGAACATGAATTTTGGAACAATTTTGCTCAGTAAATTATTCGATAATTAGATACTGTGTGATTCTTTAACTAAGCGCATGTTTTGTAACTTACAAAGTCTGTCTCTCAGAAATTGCGAACATTAGCCAAGCTTTGATGACCAAGTTTAACAATCATTTGATGGCATAAGAGCTATTTTTAGATATACTCTTCCTAAGGAACTGAAAGTTTACCCCCGTTTGTTTTTATAGAGTTCTTGTTCATTAATCTTGAGGGTATTGGGATTTAATCATACCCTGGACTAATGACAGTTCGTAAATGTATAAATTCGTATTAGTTTAATCATGTGTCAAAGGGTTGCTATTTAAGTGATTATAGTTTTTTTTTTACCTTTTCTAAGAAGCGATTTGTTATTCTTAACTAAATAATTGTTTTTTTTTCAGCTTATCCTGAACTTGAAGTCTCTCCTTATGTCACAACACAACTTGAAGAAACGCAGGGATACTTGAATGGAAAGGACTATACGTTTAGCAGGGTGACATTCCAGTGTCATGCAGATGACCTACTTGACGATTATGCATATGAAATAAGGTGGTATATTAGCGAATTCGAAATTGTCGCAGCCAAATCTAATAACTTGTCTAAAAGTGAAGTTGAAAATGGATACGGGAAAATGTTGGAAGAACAATGGACATTGTTATTCAGCCCAAACTTTATTGTGAAGTGTTCAATTAAAGTCCGAGGAACTGGTTATAAAGCTCCTGGTCCAGAACAGCACTCTCAACCTTTCTTTGCTGGCATTAAGGTACTCAAGCATATCTGTCTAAAGTAAAATACGTTGTAATCAGCTTAAAACATAAGAAGTACAAACATAATTGACTTATTTTCGGTTCACATTATTTTATCAAATACCTTCGAACATCCAGTACCTATTTTGAATGAAAACATGTTAAATAAAATCAATATGTGGTTGATTCAGGTGTTTGTTGGACAATAAATGCTCAGAAAAAAATCAAAAAATCATAGAAATTAGAATGATTATTATAATGGATGGTTGTTCAACGTTCTGCAGCATATTGAATACATATGCAGGACGAGAACATGTTAATGTAATATGAATATGAACCTTGCTTTGCACTAGCAATAAACCGACACACTGGGCCGGATTGAGCCTTGTTAGTTCACAAAATAACAGTCCACAGGAAGACCTGTCACCTTACCAGGCCATATTATCTTAAGTCCGAGCCGAGCAATCTTTGCTCTTATTCCTCGTACAGAACGGAGAAGCAGCAACTAATAATTTTTAAGTATTTGGTTTGACTCTGCGGCAACAAAATAACGGCACCCGAACTCGAAAACATGTGTTATTTGATTTTTATTTAACTTTTTACATTTTTTAAAAAGATTAACCAAACTGAATATATTATAAACGAAAATGAAGAGCTATCGATTCCAGTAGAATTAACAATGCCGCTCTCTTGTTCCTGGCCAAGTAAATCGTAAGTATATGAACTGTATTTTCTATGACCCAAAATGTTTAGTATATCAGTGCAAACATACATTATATATATATTACTGGTTGGTAGATTCTTATAGACTATATATATATATATATATATACATATATATATATATTAGGGATGTCAACTCGGTGAAGATAAACTAATCGAGTACTCGTAGGATTTACCAAGCTATACTCTAGTACTCGTTCGGTCAAGCATTTTATATTTACAAATGGAAACACAAAATTATATCCATTTTATGTATTGTGGGTCGTTGCATTATAAACGTCAAATCCTCAACATTATTACTTAGGACTAGATAATAATCCAAGGAATTTTATATCATAATTAATAGTTCATTTACTACATGAACTAATTATGTAAGCTGACAATAATCTAATCAAGTAATTAATTAATATGTATAAGATGATTATTCAAACAAACAGTAACCGTAAAAAACACATTTAATGATCACCAAAGAGATGATGATTAGAACTTAATCCTTTTCTGAGGGTCAACACAGTGTGCAACGAATTTGTTCTTATTGAAAAATATCATCTTGTATACTTTTTCTGGAACGTAGCGATTTCTCATCTTTGTTAGGTAACTAACAGTCCTGCTGAAGAAAATATATACTCTGACGGTACAGAGGTGGAGGAATAATTAAGATCAGCCAAAGGTGTAAGCCTTGGAAACATGCTCTTGTTCATATATCCTACCTCTCATTGGAGGAATTTTAAATGACATTTAAACACAATCATTCGGATCGAATTTTAAGTTTTATTAATTTTGATTAATATTAATTTCCCGGGAGGCGCTCTCAAAAATTTTTTGTTGTTGTTTTAGCTTAGGAAAGCAAGAAAGCAACAACATTCTAACAGGAAACCGATTAGTCGAGTATTATTTTGTTAATCGATACTCGGTACTACCGAGCGATACTCGAGTACTCGATTACTTGTTGACATCCCTAATATATATACAAACAAGTCTAAATTGAAAACAACGTTCAAACCTATGATTGCGTTGGATAAAAACCGCAATTTTTATACGTGTGCATGCAAAACAAATTTCTTGGTAGAGTGGTATAAATACAGCACAAACATCATTTACCAAAAGACCAAAAAAGTGAATGCAAATGTTCATATGTATTCAAGTAGTTGTTCGATCAAAGTAATTGTTACGACATATTTCCGCTCACGTGTAGCAATGGGAAATAATTTTGAATACTACAATGTATTTTTCAATGACATTGATGGTCTCAATTATAGCCAAATACGGACAAAGAATCACTAGAGCTATATGCATTTAGGAGATGCATTCATAAACAATGAGCTTTAATAAACCAATGCCAACACTTTCATGCCAGTACCAACTTAGCTACTTATGCGGTGATACAAACGGCGACTAATGGACAACTCATAAAAGATGAACTATGCATATGGAATACATATCTCCATTGCAAACTGATACGATATTATAGAACTTGCGTTTCCTATTATGATTTTCTCAGCAGTGGGTTGCTGCTAACAGGAAGACTATTAAATCAAGTGTTTCAATTGGTGAAGTTGAAGTCATTCCTTCTGAAAGTTAACAGACGCAATCGCGAGCTCCATGATTGTTATGTAATATCGGCTAAGTAGATGACGACGAACATGTTGCAATTGTTATAACCACAATCCTGTCTTCCTTTTCTCACATGTGACTTAACTGAATTTGACTTGTCACCGCATTTTGTTCATATGAGCACCACGACGGGTGTCACATGTGGAGCAAGATCTGTACACACTTCCGGAGAACCTGAGATCACTCCCGGTTTTTGGTGAGCTTTCGATTCATTTTCAATTATAATGCTTTATGATCTTCGAATTGAAAGTTGCTTTACAATTTTTTTTCTGTTAATTTAGTACCACAACAAACTAGTGTAGATCTTATATATCGTTTACATGTATAAATAGTCTAAATTTCTTTTTCAAATTTGTTTCAGTGACCAAAATAAAATTGACTATATTAAAGAAAGTCTGTGTATACTTAATTTACTAAATGGAGTGCCTACATATCAAACTGATGGCTCATATTGTAAAAACGGAATATCAGCTGAGGGTTTGGTATTCCGGTCAGAGAAGTGTGGCATTGTATTCACCTATCCCAATTGGAAAGAAACCCAGTATGTCAATGTAACGGGAGCTTCTGATGGTCAGATCAACATCGAGGACAATATTATTTTCTTGCGTTTATTCAATGACCCAATTCGTGTAGAACCGAAAAATTCTCTGAAAGTATGGACTGGCATACACCTCATAGATATAAAGGTACGCACTAGATTAGATGACATTTCCAGGAAGAGGACCATTTATGGCACCTGAAATTGTAAAAATTATAGTTAAATTATTCAAGACTTTCAAAATTATGTTTATTTTATCAATAAATGACCAGATAAATATATTCTAGACACTAAAGTGTAAACAGGTTACTTGTGATGTCATTTTAACGTCATAAATAGGATAAAATTGACTAAAAATTGCAATTTAGTTTTGAGGAAAACGATATGAGGCAAGGCTTCACCCAAAAAGATATTTTACATATATTAATTCATTATGTAGCAAAAGATACTATTTGGTAAAGCCTTTGCTAATATCTAAATATTAATAACAAAATCTAAATATGTGGTAATTTTGGCAGTTTTTGCAATTTGACACATCATTCATGAAGTTTGAAGCCTTCTGTCAAATATGTAAGTCAACTTTCAAAAATATGAATGATGATTTTTGTCAGACTAATGTCTCATAAACATTTGGACAGTTATCGAAATACTGATTAAGCATGTATGTGTTAAGACCAGAACTATTCTATCAAGCATTAAATGAGGGCAGTGTTTGAAAAATTGAATGTGTGATAGCAAATATTTTCGACATATTTAAAAATAAGGTGATGTGGTACGATTGCCAATGAGACAACAATCCTCCGAATACCAAAGTACGTGAATGTTAGTAACTAGATTATTAAGCATTTATTTGTTTCCATTATATAGTTAAAACAAACCAAAATGTTTTTCGACATGTTAAATAGTTTTGTTCCATAAATTTATATTCCAGCTATAATATAATAAAAAGTTGTAAGATTAACCTTCAAAATAAGTTTTTACAAAACATTTGAATAGTTGCAGAATTCGATCGATAACATCTTCAAAACCTACTAGTGTTTTGAATGGTTTGATGCATTCATAGCAGAAGTCGCGTACCCTGTCGACACTTCCGGTCACGCTCCTTTTTGGGTTCATGTGGTTCCCTCAGGTTTTTTCCGTTACCTTGATTTGTCTCTTTTTGATCAATTTATGAGACATGAACATCGATAAACTACTGTCGCCCGAAAACTGGTCATAATATTATGCATTATATCCTAAACATATTTTCACGGTGATTTTCAAAAAGACTTTGACAGATAGATATACCCCAACTTATTCCATGGTGTAAATAAAAGAAAAAGAAACTGTTGGTGTTGCCAGCCGCCCTGATTTACCCTTTTTTATGAAAAAATGTATATTTGTTTTGTTTTCGACATTTTTGTATAGACCCTAAAAAGTACTGAACCCATAATAGGACTATTCATATCAGCAGTTTAACAAGCTGAGGTAGCTATGTGTAACCCGCAAGCTATTTTTTGATACCTGACGCGAGTTGTTTAATTATGAATTCTTTTGTTGTGTTTTCGTTATCCATGTTACGTAATTATAGATGTAAGTGCACATGTATTGCATTGTTATTGTAGTTTGGATATAATACTGACTAAGGTTAAGAACCTCGTTTAGCCTTCCCTTATGTTCATATACATGTCTTAAGTTGGAGTTTATTTTAATATCAATCGAGTTTATTGCTTTTCACACTAACTCCTTCAAAATAACAAAACATTATGATGTGACATAAGATATTTACTTTCATGGTTCCTAAATTTGAAACAATGATTGATTTTTACTAGTTTTTAGTCTTTCAAATTTTTTATTGAATCGTTAGTAATGAGATGCTTGAGAACTCTATAATATACACCCTGAATACAAATGCAAATTGACACACATTTGGACTTGGGCGTCTCTATTGTTAGCCTTAAATGCAAATTCAGCAGTATATATATCCCTATTAAAAGAACTACATAATCCATTTTGTTTAATCAAACTGTCTTTTAAGTTTTCCATTGTTATTCCAATTTTTTTATTAGGCTTAGTACTACAATAAATCTTCAGAGGTTTTTTTAGCGTAGTTAATTATTATAAAAAAGAAAAAATAACAAAAATACCGAACTCGGAGGAAAATTTTAAACGGAAAGTCCCTAAGCAAATGGCAAAAACAAAAGCTCAAACACATCAAACGAATGGATAACAACTGTCATATTCCTGATTCGGAACAATATTGGTATAATATTGTCAAATTAGTTTCCACGTGGAAAAGTTATTGTACTTTTTACAGGTAATAACTCGTGACACAGATGAAGCCACATTAGGAAAAGAATGTTATGCGCTAAATGATCCTCATATGAGGACATTTGGTCAAAGGTATGTGAATAGATTGCACGATTGGTATAATTGTATTTATAGTAGCAAGAGAGAAATTCATTGCATGAAAAATCAATACACATCATTTAATTTTCTTTTGAATAAACCATCTTTTGGATCTTTGCAGTTTTATAACACACAAAGTATTTGGAAAACGTAAAGTATAACATTTTGTCTGAACTATGCATATTAATTTTCAATGGTATGATGTATCTAATTTTTAGAAGATATGAGCTCCAGAATTTGAATGGGTTAACTGCAGGGGAATACATAATGTATAAGCATGCAAGGCTTCCATTACAGGTAGGTTGAAAAATAACTTTTTTGTCCTTTGTACATGTAGCTATAATCAGATCCTGGATCTCTACAACTTTGAACATTAACGAGTTTGTTGATCACTTTTAATTCAAAATATATTAAAAATTTAGTGCACCTTTTATGTTATAATAAACACAGAAGAGAATATAATTGGTCAGGGGTGCAATCAGAAACCATAAATCGAAGCATGTCAATTCCGCTTAAGCTTCCCTACACATTCATATATTCATTGTACGATAACGATACCCATTCATATTATGTGATGTTTTTGGTAACCTATTCATATACATGTATATAATATTCAGCAAATAGTTTGGAATATACCTTTGCTGTTGAGAACCTAGATTTGTAGACCCATCGACATTTATAGCTTGTAATGACCACGCTTTCATATACTAGAGTGGAAAAATTTCTAACCAAACACATCCATATATTTGCGAGCAAAAAGCCAACACATTCCAGCGACACGTCTTAATATCTCTTTGTATATACCTTTATATAGTTGAGGGTGACTTAATTCGACTTATTTCCGGAGAGACAAGCAATTTGCATAGATGATAAATTAAATAGGCAATCCCCACTTCTCGTACTCATACAAAGCGTGGACATTAATTTTCTATATGAAAAATACCTCTGTGAGTAGATGTATATAAAATGCGATGTCTTCATGTTTTGTTGTGTTGCTTGGCTGTTTTCTTATTAATGCGAAACCCTCTTTCCCTTTATTAATTGATAGGCATTTCTAATTTTGATTATGATAAATGATATTACTCACTAGAGAAGCAGACGTTTCTTAGCAAAGATTTGCTCATAATTAAATCCGTGCATAATCCATTCAAGACAAAATTGCTATAAGAAGGATTCAAAAAACTTAAGGGTATACAAGATACAAAAAGTATTGGGAAACTTGAAATTAACGGTTTTTCCAACTTAAAGCGCATTTATTTTTGTTCTTCATCTTGGCAGACGCCTGAATGGTTTCAAATAAGCAAAAGTTATCACATCTTACATCAGCAGGATAAAGACAGGTCACAAGTGAGCGTCGAATTATGCGTCACTATAATACATATGTAATTGAAAATTCAGTTTCCCAAGTTAACGGTAGTTTAGTCGCCAAAACAAATTTTGAAAACAAAACATATTAATTACTAGTCCAATGTTCTTGAAGTTTTACAATTTGTTACATGTGTGCAAACAGAGTTTTGCTTTTAAAGGATATAGTCAAGGGCCAAACAAGGATATGGTTAACTTTTAAACATTATACTAGGAAAATTTCAAAAGTTTAACCAAAAATAAATATGATAGACAGCAACCAACAACAACCACTGAAATAAAATGAGGGGAATCAAACTATCAAAAAATTAAACGACCAAAAACGCACCACCCTATTGAAGAGTTCTTTTGACAAAACTTTTAAAAAGTATAAGTGATATTGACTAAGGAGACCAGAGCAATTCATGATCAGTTATTCAGCTGGGTAAATTCGTAGTTTTCTCACATCGTGGGATCAAAATCCTCTAACATGTTGGTTCATTGGAATTTGTCACCCACGATAAAGCTCCTACGGCAAAGCTTTTAACGAGCGTTGCCAATATCAACGAACAGAAAATATCCATGCGCCTATATTGTACCCCGAATATCATCCTACATGTATATCGAAACACACTCCTATTTTGACAGCGTTGAACCATTTAACATCAGTATCGATACATGATCAATATAAGTCCGTCCTTGCACAAATGGTGAAAGCTTTAAAACAGGAGAAATAAAACGTTTTCCTCCTGACACCCTGGACCATTTTTTGTAATCATTTCCGTGTATATTAAACTGAATATTTTAGTTATTATCATTTTGTCCCTTTTTGTTATTGTTGAATCAGCCATGGATGCATTCAATTGATAACATACAACCAAATCGATATTACAGACAAACAAATCGAATAAAGGTACAGACAAACCGAAATAACGAACAAAATAGAGAAAATGGAGTACTTAATCAAGAAAACGGATAAATTAATCGAGATAACGAAAAAAAAAACCTTAAGAAAGCCCAAAGATATTGATTGTTTGTATTATCGGTCAAAATACTCTAAATGTAATAGACATATATCTTATTAAATAAAACAATTAATACTAAATAATCTTTTTTGGCATATTACATTATAGATTATGAAATTGTGGCTCCTAAATAACACATTTCAAAATTTATAACATAGTTCAATATCGATAATTTTGGCTGCAACCCCGATCCAGATCATTTTTGTGTCTAGGCATTCAATAAACACCTATCCACATCTTGTTTACCGAATATTTGTGATCGTAAATATTTGGGGACTAACCGGTCGTTATACATGATACAAATATCCTGGTGGATGATGAATTCATTTCAAAATTGAATTAACCTTGACACTCAGCAATTTCATATCAACTTCCAATCAATGATCAGTGCTCGTGAAATTGAGCAATAAAACGCAGAACTTAAAAAAAGTACGAATAGCCGACATCCACGCCTCGGAAGTTGATAAAAATATATAACAGATGTGTATAGAAATATGTAAAACTGCTGTGACACGGCTTCGGTTTGATTCCTGCTAAACATCGCTTCCCTTTATCATGTTCATGGACATTCAGTAATAGTCGGAATATTGTTTTGAAAAAGTGTTTAAAAAATATCCATAATATTTCTTTTCAATGGAAATAAATATTGATAATTAAACACGTACAAAATGACGTCTGCCGACTTAAATGATGTGCAAAAATTATTGATTCAAACACAAAGTCACATTTTAAAGTCAAACAAGCCAATCTTGGTTATGAAAAAAGAAGGTATGATAAAGCTCCTTTGTCAGTTTGAACTTGAAAATAAAAAAAGTATTAAAAATTCATAAAAAAAAACCATCCTCTACATATTCCAAAAAATATTCTTTTGTCAGAAATTACCATTTGTAACACGACGGATGCCACATGTGGAGCAGGATCTGCTTACCCTTCCGCAGCACTTGAGATCACTCCCAGTTTTTAGTGGGGTTCGTGTTGCTGTTGTACCCCTATTTGTGACATGTTTACCTATTGGGTCTGTATGTTTTGTTCACACATCGTTGTCAATATAATGGAATTTGAGGCGGCTGTCATACAAGTAAGAGGTTTAGCTAACTTTAAAACCAGGTTTAATCCACCATTTTCTACATAAGAAAATGCCTGTACCAAGTCAAGAATATGACAGTTGTTATCCATTCGTTTGATGTGTTTGAGCTTTTGATTTTGCCATTTGATTAGGGACTTTCCTTTTTGAATTTTCCTCGGAGTTCAGTATTTTTGGGATTTTACTTTTTTGTATATTTGAGTTTGGCTAACTGATTTGCCTTTTGGGTTTTAGATTTTCAAAACTGCCAATAGCCTCATTTCGAGATCTTGTCATCAAATAAAGTTGTATTTTATAATATCAATATTGTATAGTTAACTCCTTCTAAAATCCTTCAATCTTTTTAGTAATAGTGCTAAACACTGAAGCTGTGTACTTATTACCAAATGACATGCAAAGTTTTCGTCCATTTTTTGAATTATTCTATTTCAGCTTTATCTGAAAATGCATTACCACTTTTGATTATTTATCTCTTTAAAGAGTTTTCAAAACAAACCCTTGAACCTTCACAGAAAGTTTCCACATGTAAAAAGGCTCAGCACCTTTCGCGGTAGATTGTTTTCCATTGTTTCCAACCCGACTAAAAGCGCCAGGTGAGCTATTGCCATCACCTGGCGTGCGTCGTCGTCGTTAACTTTTTACAAGATCTTCTTCCCTGAAACTACTAAACAATTTCACCCAATCTTTGGGTAAATAATCCTCAGGATATCTTGTAAAGGTTGTGTGTTTTTGTTTTCCGACAGTCAACAAACATAGCCTTCATTGCTAAACATAGAACATAAGGGTTAAATGCATTGATTGTCTCACATCAAAAACAATAAAAGATAGAGAAAATCTGACGGGACATAAATGATAAAGATCTACGAATGTCATGTCTGCCTCAAAATTATTAGATGACTCCTGAAGGAGTTATTGTCCTTGAATGACGTTTTTTGGCTATTTGTCATGTTTTTGTCTATCGACTCATGAACTGCATTAGACCGTAGCTATCTGATGACTCCTTACATTAGTTATTGACATAAATAGACGATGCTTTACTAATTTTCGAGTATTTGCCCTTAACTTTGAAAAAATATAATATATAGCATAGGTAGAAACTGTGAATATAAAAAAAGATCGGTATACAAGATCTATATGAATACCATATCAACAGAACTATTGGCTGACCTCTTATCGTAGTTATTGCCCTTGAAAGATGATTTTTTTACTATTGTTTTAGCTTTTGCCTTTTATTTCCATTTTTTTACAGGCAATCGATTCTGGTTCTTTTAAACCTCTTGTTTCTGATTTTATTTGTGCATATATTAGAAATACCATTATAAACAATTTATTCAACAAGACCGTTTGATTCCTTAATTTTTTTTCGGGGTTTATTTCACGACTGACAATGGATACAAATTAAAAGAGTTTATTCAAAACTAAGTAGATTGCAAAATTTAAATTTGTTATGCAGGTAAACGCATTCTTTAAACGATGCAACAGTAGAAGCACTGCATTGTGTAATTGTGGAGTAGCAGCCAGAAGTGGTGACAGCTTATTTGTAACCAACTTTTGCAAAACAGAATTAAAGAATGGTGAAAGAAGAACTAACAATTATATAATACAGAGGTTATGTGACGACCAGAACCTAATTATAGAAGAAACTGGCGATAAATTTAAGGTTGTTATTATGAAATAACGGTCAAAAAAAAATTATGAAATCAAATCTACATTCCATTCAACTAAAAATTATGTTTTTTATAACTATATATGGCGCATTGTTTTGTTGATTCTTTTATAGACTTAACTGTATATGTAACAATATAAAAAAAGACTTAATTTGTGTGCAAAATTGTTACTTTAAATCTTAGAGAATATCAAATGATCATATATGTGATGTTCCATTGTAATGTTATGAAAAACTTTTCATCACGCTTTACTGTTCTATTTGTTTAAAACTGAGGAGATGGGATATGATTGCCATTGTGACAAATATCCACCATATTCAAAAGAACGCAGACGTATGCAACCATCGAGCATTGTACGGCTTTCAACAATAAACTTTTTTCATATAATCGACTTTTGACTGCGAAGTATAAATTTTTCGACCAACCTCTGTCTTGGGACATTCTCGTACTAAAAGAATTAAATTCAAGCTTACAATTGGTGCACAATTTGGGGAAAGGCAACTGTTTTTCGTGTAAAGTAAACATAAAACAGTTGATTTCCGCCCCAAATTGCACCGTTTGTAGACTCGGGTTTACTTCTTTTAGTTGCTCTTACTGGATCAAGTACTAAATTGTCTTATCACAGGGTAGGTAACCTGTCGAAAAATTATATACTCCGGAGTAAAAGTGAGTATATGAAAATATGCATTTATTACCGGAATACCCTGATTCTAACAAGTCATGAAGTAACTTTCAAACTAATTAATGTTATTTCTGATCATCATACTGTTAATATACCTATTTGTTTAGTTCAATTATTCTTTTTGTTATAGATAATTCTTCCATCTGGTACAAAAATAATCTTTTCCCATACAACGTCGAATGATGGTAAACATACTATTCAACAAATATCCATATTTCCATCGTCTTTAGATCTTGAAATGACCTCTGGTTTGTGTGATGTTTATACTGGCAAGACTGATGATAGTTTAATTCCAAGGGATGCATTTTTGCCTACTGATGAAGTCACATTTGCAAAATCCTGGAAGTAAGTCTTAACAATAACAATATGTATACATATATATGTACTGAGATACTGTCAATATAAAGCAAAGTCAATACGTTACCCTCGGGCATGTCCACACTATACTGACTTCGTTTACAAATTTACAAATGTGTGCTCCTTACACAAAAATAAACTGATTCAATAGAATTATGAGGAAGAATAACTGAAATCGACACTACATAAGTTTTACTGTCATCATCACGAATTGTTTGACCGATACTAGCGACATGTTTCCACGGTCTTAAATTTTAAGGTACCAGATAGTTATCTGTTCTGTTATTTAATTCTATTCCCGTTTGTGGTATTTTGACTGAATATAAATTATCGTGGCGGTTTATGTTTGCAAAGAAGGAGACGATTATCCTGTCCACTCAACCGGCCTCGCTTCTTTTCGAATTCATTCGATTCCCTCAGTTTTTGTTTGTTACCTTGATTTGTCTTATTTTAATTGATTTACGAGATTTGAATGATACACTACTGTAGCCTTAGTTTACATATTAGTTTGAATTGCCAAAATCATCAGCTGACTGCTAATATGAAATATTACCTTTAAAAAGCACTTTTTATCCTTCATTTCTGTTTTTGAAATAGGATTAAATTTTTTTAATCTTTTGACCGCCTGTCATAGTTTTTTGAAGTAGAAGTAATAAATAAATAAAAATAAATTGCGTTTCCAATTTTCCTCCATTACGTTCATTTTTGTTTGTACTAGAACTGTTTGTCTCGTTAATGTTCATAATAATTCGCGACATGGGGTAAAGAACCTTTGTCACGCACCTTCCCTAAAGCAAACATTAAGCTAATTTGAGAAGACAAACGCTCTTCAGACAGCTCTGAAATATTTCCTAAGTTGACGTTTCATGACGCTCAGGGCCAGGGAGAATATGAAAAAATGGTGAAAGTGATCGCCCACCTAAGATATACAAGTAAGTTATTGGACTTGAAAAATAATAATTTTATCAATTTTTTGTGTTTTATTTTTGGCAGAACTACAGTAGATAGAGAGAACATGTACATTGCAAAATTACAAGAAAACAATTATATCTCAACATAAGTTAACACGGCAAACTTTGTCGTTTGACATCTTATAACGTTCGGAGTACAACGTGCATGTTCGGAGCACCTGAGATCACCTCTAGTTTTTGGTGTGGTTCGTGTTGCTCAGCCTTTAGTTTTTTATGACGTGTTTCGTGTACTATTGTTTGTCAGTTTTTCTTTCTCTCTTTTAGTTATGGCGTTGTTAATTTATTTTTCTTTGACTCATGAGTCCCTTTGGTATCTTTCGCCTCTCTTTTATAAGAGTCACCCTTGAATAACAATTTGTACCCATTTTTTGGTCTGTGGAATAATAGTTGATAGAGAGAAACTATTATTAATAGTAAAAATGTCGAGCAAGATAAGATTTACAAATAAGTCAATACGAAGATCGTCAATCGACTCTTTACAGGATATATTGCCCCTTTTTTAAAAATTTTATTCAAAAATATCAGTACTCGATATTGCAATCTTGACGTCTCATGTTCTATCCTTTTTCTAATTTTTGGGAGGCTGGAGTGATACAATGATATAAGGCGTTTTTTCAAAATTTCTTCTTAGGGTCGAAAAAGAAATTCAGGACTTGTTATTTGACTCAGAAGGAAAATTAAAGCAAACTGAATATTCTGTACCAGAGTATTGTACATGTAAACTACCTGATCATCAATACCCGCATACAAGTTCTGACTTCAGCTGTAATTTATCCGCTGCAATGAAGACATGTAGAAGTCTGAAAACAACTACAAGTGTATACACAGCATCCTGTAAAAACAGAGTATTCTTTTCTGAGAGATCAGTTAAACGGGCCATCGTAGAAACAACAAAAGAATCCGAGGAAGATGATGACAAACCAACAGTTTATCCAATGACGTCCGAATCAAGTGTAGATGAAAGTGTAAGTTTGAAAATCACAATCAGGTATGCTTCATTTGAACTCTTGTTCACAAAATATAAATGGCAAGTCAGAAAATACAAAGAAAGGTCTACATGGACAGGAAAATATTTTGTTCAGTTTTTATGCCACAATTTTGGTCGGATTTTTATGAACGTACACGGAAAGATAAAACATACCGAACATATTATTCTGTGTTTAATTTTGAACACCTAAACAAAAAAGATAATTAGGACAATTCACCGTATGAATTAAACATTAATTTCAAGTGAAATTAACAATTCATTATACAGTATTACAATGAACACCTAAAAAATTACAGAAAAGTGCAAAAAGAGGCGGAAGATACAAAGGGGATATGCAACACGCAATAGTCGAGAGTAACTGACAACGCCATGGCCAAAAAGAAAGGTCTATGAAAATAAAAACAAGTTCACAAAACACTACATCGAAAACGAAAGACTGACCAACACAAACCCCACACCAAACGTGGGCTGATATTAGGTGCTTCGAAAAGGTTAAGCAGATCATATTCCACAAGTGGCACCCGTTGTGCTGCTCATTGTAAGTGCAAGTTCGGGGATGAATGTCGTTTTGTGATGTCATAATTGAGGAAAAGAGAACGGGTTATTGTTACCACAATAAGAACATTTCCGTGGTCATCTGTGTCTCAGAAAACAGACAACAAACTCGTGATTGCGTCCATATACTCGAGAGAAACTGACAACACCAAGTCAAAAATCAAAAGACGACGAAAAGAAAAACAAGTTAACAAAACACCACTAGAAAGAATGAGAAACAAAACCCAATAAAAACTGGGGATGATGTCAGGTACTACGGAAGGGTAAGGAGATCTTTTACTACAGCTAGTGGCACTCGTTGTGTTGCTCATAGAAAAAAAACTTTTCGGTGATGTCACAATTGCATACAGATGTTCATTGTTTGTTGAACAAACGGCCTCAAACGTATCAAATGTGTTGTCAATAAAACATCAACCATATTTGTTATTACTATTTTTAATTGAAGCTTGTAGCTGAGTGGTCGAATGGTTGGACTCACGATACTGCACGAGAATCATGTACTGCCAGTATTTATAACGCACCTGCATTTGGTCCTTGTTCCCAATATGTCCCATTTATGAACCCAGAAGCGTACATAGAAAACTGCATATTAGATATCAAGGTTTGTCTTAAAAAATACCGAATTCCAAGGTAAATTCAAAAAGGGGCAAGTCCATAAAATCTGACAAAATCAAACGTTAGACTATATCAACCAACGGAACAAATGAAAAACAACTGTGATATTCCTGACTTTGAAACAGTCATTTTCCGAAGAGAATGGTGAGTTAAACTGGTTTTATAGCTATCTGAACCTTCCACTTGTATGACATTTGTTTATAGTTCCGTTATGCTGATAAAATTTGGTGAGCAACCCAAAAAGACATAATTGGTTAATATTATAATGATTGGGATTCATCAGCCAAAACTATGTAATCATAAATCACAGACATACATCACAACTGACTAAAAAGTTCAAACAAACATAGAAATATATTTGACAAAGATGGTAAAAAAGTATTTATTGTAGTTGATAGTACATACAAAAACAAAAATATTTTGGTAGATGATAGTACATATCGTAAATTAAAACATAATTTCACGATAAAGTACAAATCAAGTAAAATATAAATACAAGGGTAAATAAAATGAAAATAACACTATTAAAACGTCATATGTCGGAATCGCACGTCATGACAATCCTGCACCAGGAACGCCCTAAGCCAAAAACCCGAAAGCGGGATGTACAAATAACTAGCAACGTCAAGATTCATACGACCAAAAGAGACAGGATAGTACAGAGACAAATAAAGTGAAAACTGTAAAGTAAATAAAATGATACTCAACATCAGCACCTAGAATCAATAACTGAAAACCATCATGTATCATTTGTGAAGTAGACACTGGATATTTATCTACTAGGTCTTGATACTTTCCGATGAACTTTTTGAATTGAAGGACGAGACTTTGAGAAAATCCTGTTAAGGTAGACACTAACTTTTTTAAGCGAACTTTCTACCTTTAAAATAAAATACAGTCTTTTTGGAGTTGGGGTTCTTTCTTTTTGTTTGTTTTATTAAATTAGTACTTTATATTTAGTTTATACTATTTAAGTAACAACATTATACATCACCAACAGGTTTTCCTTTTTAGCTCACCTGGCCCAAAGGGCCAATTGAGCTTTTCTCATCACTTGGCGTCCGTCGTCCGTCGTCGTCCGTCGTCGTCGTCGTTAACTTTTTACATTTTGAACTTCTTCTAGAGAACCACTGAATGGAATGAAACCAAACATGACATGAATGTTCCTTATGAGGTGCTGACCAAGTGTTGTTACTTTTTAGCCGATCCATCATCCAAGATGGCCGCCAGGGGGGGACTTCGTTTAACATAGGACCCTATGGGAAATACATACAAATGTCTTCTTTTAGAGAACCACTGAATGGAATGAAACCAAACATGGCATGAATGTTCCTTATGAGGTGCTGACCAAGTGTTGTTACTTTGAAGCCGATCCATAATCCAAGATGGCCGCCTGCTGGGGACTTAGTTTAACATAGGACCCTATGGGAAATACATACAAATGTCTTCTTTTAGAGAACCACTGAATGGAATGAAACCAAACATGGCATGAATGTTCCTTATGAAGTGCCGACCAACTGTTGCTACTTTGAAGCCGATCCATCATCCAAGATGGCTGCCAGCGGGAGACAATGTTTAACAAAGGACCCTATAGACAATACATACAAATGTCTTCTTTTAGAGAACCACTGAATGGATTGAAACAAAACATGGATGAATGTTCCTTATGAGGTGCTGACAAAGTGTTGTTACTTTGAAGCCGATCCATAATCCAAGATGGCCGCCAGTGGGGGACTTAGTTTAGCAAAGGACCCTATGGGAAGTACATACAAATGTCTTCTTATAGAGAACCACTAAATGGAATGAAACCAAACATTGCATGAATGCTCCTTATGAAGTGCTAACCAGGTGTTGTTACTTTGAAGCCGATCCATCATCTAAGATGGCCGCCAGTGGGGGACAATGTTAAACAAAGGACCCTATGGACAATACATACAAATGTCTTCTTTTAGAGAACCACTGAATGGATTGAAACCAAACATGGCATGAAAGTTCCTTGTGAGGTGCTGACTTAGTGTGTTGTTACTTTGAAGCTGATCCTTTATCCACGATGGACCCCAGCGGGGGGACTTCCTTTAACATAAGACCCTATGGGAAATACATACAAATGCTTCTTCTAGAGGTGCACTTAATGGAATGAAACCAAACATGGCATGAATGTTTCTTGTGAGGTGCTGATGAAGTGTTACTACTTTGTTGCTGATATTCTGTTCAAGATGGCCACCAGGATTTTTTTATTAGATTACAGGGCCAATATTAAACCAAATTTGGCCTCACTTATTATTAGGGTATCTGTTATGATTTTAATCTATTTTTATATGATTTCCAAAACCAAAGTAGAATCACGTGAGCAACACAGGCTCTTGAGAGCCTCTAGTTTAAAGTTCTAATTATGTGTGTATTCGATAGGTATCACATCTGTGTGGTTCTTGATATTAAATGTAATACGGTCAGTTCTATATCAAATCAAATAGCAAAATAAATACTTGATTTAATATAGAACTGACTGTAATACATTTAATATCATTGTACATTTTTTACAATAAGAATGAAAAAAAAAACATTTGTATATGTACACACACAAACAAACGTATTGCTGATCAACTTGATTGATTCGTTCGTCTATTTTGTCGCTGGTGGACTGTTAGTCCCCTTGGGTATCATCAGCCCAGTAGCCAGAACATAGGTACTGGCATGAAAATACCGATATAGTGTTATTGATATCTGCATTTATGATGTTGAATTAAGGGATATAAATTATCTCCCTCATTCAAAGTTCTGAACCCTTGACCGGCTTTGAGTATACATTTTGACCTTTTAGGTTTTATCAGCTTTTCAATTTTGAATAAGTTTTCGATTTTTTGGGTTTCGAGCATCACTGATGAAACATTTATTGTCAAAATGCGCATCCCTTAATGTTATTTATTCTTTAACATTTCTTCCTAGAGAATTCAGTTTGCTTATGGTGGTACGCTTTTACTATTTTTATTAAAATGCTGTATATGAAGTTTAAACATAGTTTTAAGTTTGTTTTCCAGTCATGGCTAGGCATGCACTTGTGTTTATTCTATTTTCTGTTTTAAATAAAAATGCTGTCACTTTCTTTTGCTTGTAAATACATGAATTGGGTGATTGAGATAGATGCACTGTGAGGTTTTTTTTTGGTACATTTTGACTTCTAAGGAAATATCCAAACATTTTTCACCATGCTATGGTTTTCTATTATTTACTTCCCCTCCTCCAAGGACTTACTGGTGTGGGCAAAATAGGTTATCCGCTTCCATTTGCCGTCTATATGGACTCAAACAGTTACCTGAACTTTTTGTATGCCTTCTGATATTGATCTGATGCTTGCAACTTAGTGTGTTATAATGAAAATATCGAGTTAACTTTGCCTTTTCGGCTCCGATTAGCTGTCATTTTGCAGAATTATAGTCCTCGGAATAATACAAACATCATTACAACTTGTCCAGACTCCAATTGGTAATGTTTTCATACCTGGAGCTGAATTTTGGTACATCAGTGTTTAAAAAAGTGGGGCGAAAGATACCCGAGGGACAGTCATACTCATAGATCGAAAATAAACTGATAACGCTATGGCTAAAAAATAAAAAGACAAACAAACAAATAATAGTACACGAGACACAACATAGAAAACTAAAGACTAAGCAACACGAACCCCACCAAAAACTGGGGGGGGGGGGGGGGGTGGTTGGGGGGGGGGGGGGTGGTGATCTCAGGTGTTTAATGATGACTGAGAGATAGAGTTTGCACTTTTTTCTTTTCGATTAACGTTTCGCATTAAGCCTGTGTTGTGATCACATTTACTAATAGATGACAGTTTCATGTCGTCCATGTAACACTATATATTTGTTAAAATTTGAGAAACTACTAAATTCATACATATAGTACATTCATTCAAACCTGCACACCCAATGTATTAAACAATACTCATCATAACAGGGTGTAATTTTATAAGATAATTTTTTTTATAAACTTGTTGATGGTTTTTTCGTTGGAATTGTTTCACATTTTATTATATCGGGGCCTTTTATATACACTTTACGTTTTGCTAATTGTTGAAGGACAAAAAGTTGCTTAAATACACGTTATTTGGACTCTGGTTGTTCTGCGGTTTGCATGTCGTGTCGATTACTATATTATGTGTTTGTGCTATATTTCTGTCGCGTAGTTTTGTCATTTTAGAGATATTTTTAACATTGTCATAAAGCGGGAGGTTTGGCTAGCCATTAAACCAGGTTCTACCCACCATTTTTTCTTAAAATGTCCTGTACCAAGTCAGGAATATGCAGTTGTTATCAAATAGTTCGTTTCTATGTATGTTGGCGTTTTTTTTGTTGCACTTCAGTGTTCCTGTTGTTACTTTGCTTTCCTCTTATAGTTGATGTGTTTCCCTCGGTTTTAGTTTGTAGCCCGGCTTTGTTCCCTCTCAATCGTTTTATAACTTTTGAACACCGGAATACTACTGTTGCCTTTATTTATACTAATAAACACTATTTTCTCGTTGTCAGTTAGCCCAGAATTAATTAATTATATAGAATATACACTCACTTCACAAGCGATTGCCTACATCTTGTTGAAAAAGTTAGGTCAGCCCATGTAAATACTAAATTCAGAATAATAACATTATAACTTCAAAATTAGAATTCAATTAATTGCATTTTTTAAACTTTGTTACTGATGATTTTTGTTAGTAAATCATTTAAACTATTCCACAAAAGTATGTTAGCATGGAAATTGGTAAGGATGAACTTTAGAGTTGATATTTCATGCATGTTGTAGCAGGTTCATGTGATACACATACTTTTTTAAACATTTTTAATCGAAAAAAACCCAGTTCACTGTTTATCAATGTTTATCGTCAATATTTCTGCATAATGCATAATACATAATAACTCATATGCAGAGTATTTACACTGTAAAATGTAAATTGAAAAATTATAAACAACTGTGCTTTAAATTCTCATGATTAGAAATTTTTCTACTATCAAATAGTCGTTTCTTTTGTCGTTTCTATGTTTTATTCTCTAATGTATCATTTATTGAGCCTCTCAGCAGACCACATTTGCTTAAAGTGAATTTCACCCCTGTAAAATCTTCATTTTCAACCCTTATTTAGTGTTTTGAATTAGAGAATTACGACAATTGCTTAAATCATAAATATCAATTCAGTTCATTGAGGCTTTTAATTCATCCACTGATACTGTTTCCATTATTTATCGTTGTCTAGGAATATCTTGTCACAAATCATGACGATTTTTTTTCCGAGCTAGATGCGTTTCATTTAGTTTTGGTAGACACGTTTTTCTAATCGTATAAAATGTTATAGTTCTGTAGAGACAGATGGATTCTGATGGAATGCCCTTTATATGTAGACCTACGATGCGATGTAGTTGTTTCATTACCTGATGAGAACATTTCATTACATGATGTGAACATGAAACATGGACATAATGCGAATTCTTTATTATATGATGTGAATATTGCTGTACGTGATGCTAGTACTACATTACTGATGAAAACTTCATATTATATACGTGATGTCAAATGTAATCTCCATGATATAAACTACTTTTAATGTTAATATAAATTTCTGAATTAAATTCCGAAGAATTATTGGACCAAGATTGACCCTTCGTGAAATTAACCCTTTGTCTGCATAAGTATGGTATATACTACTGTGTTTAAGCACATTTCGTCAAAAAAGAGGACGAAATTAAATAAAAGGCATTTTCTGATGCAAAAGGTTTACCAAACATAATGCATGTTTTCTAGATTTGAATTCAATAATCACAATATATCTTTTACAGTATGAAGGAAACTCAACTTGGATCAAGTCGACATTGGAAGGTTTTGCCGATGTTTGTTTAGAAAAAGCACAGAAATTAGAAAATTTGACAAAAACAAATGATACAACATCTTCTGGGGAAGGGAAATCTATTTTAGCTCTAATATCGGAATCAACATGTGCAGACAACTGTTCCGGGCATGGACAATGTGTGGACGGTAAGACGTTCAAATTGTGTCTAATAATGTCAAATTTAGTAATGAAATTTGATATCAAAACTTTCATTTTGTAAATACCTAACATTTGTTATGACTTTAATAAATGATAACATCATGGAAAAGGATATTATTGGAAAATATTATTATTCTACTGTGTTCAGAGCTTAAAAGATAGCATTTCAAAAAATGCTAACGTGTGGTCAAACATCGACTGATTGGACGACAAATAAGTTGTAACAGTGTATTGTTTGTTGTAAGACATCCACATACAACTAGCCCAAAAAATTAATAGAGGATAAAAATTTGACCAATTTAAGATATTAAGACCGGAACAAATGTTATGCGTATGTAATATATTTTTCTAAGCGAAGGCAATATCTAAATCAATATTTGTTATATCCTATGAATCACAGGTTCAAAAATTTATTTTGGCTTTTGTAAATATTTATTTATATATATATATATATATATATATATATATATAAACAAGTCTAAATTGAAAACAACGTTCAAACCTATGATTGCGTTGGATAAAAACCGTAATTTTTATACGTGTGCATGTAAAACAAACTTCATGGTAGAGGGGTCAAAATACAGCACAAACAACATTTTCCAAAAGACCAAAAAGTGAAAAGTATATTTTAACAAAACGCATTTGACTAACAGGTCGAACAACTGATGTTCTTAAACCCTGCTGACTGCCATTGGCGATTGCCAAATAAATTGATCACCAGATGTAATCAAATAGAAAACTAAAACTAAATATATATATATATATATATATCTGCTACATATCCTTTGTTTTTCTATAACACAATATAAACGTAATCCATTACACATACCGTAAAAACTTGTGTGTATCTTCTCATGCTTACAACAAATAACACGGCTATGATTAATTGTTTTCTCATATAATGTACATACAACAATCATATACAAACTTTTATGTTTTAATGCGTTTTTGAAGATTTGCAATAAGAAAAATAAAACACGTTTGTATATATTTCTAGGTGTATGTAATTGTTCCGCTGGGTATTTTGGATCGTCTTGTTCGTTTGATGCTTCACAACCACCTCTTATAATAAGAAACGCATTTCAAGGAGTATGTGATACCACTAAAAAACCATGCAAGAAATTTATAATTCCTGGCAGTAATTTCATTGATGACAGTAACCTGACATGTCAATTTTCGGTTTTTAGAGTAAGTCTGTTGCATATTATAATTATTATCGTACACTGATTCCAAAACGTAACTATTTGTTTGTCCTAATTGGAATGACAAGTTATTAGGATTATTTTTTGTATTTTGTTTGGTATACAATTGATAATTACTTTTTAAGACTAATGATTTTAAATTATTTATGCATTTAAATTTCAAAACATTTGGTACATAGTCTACCTAGTTATTTCAGAAATACGTTTTCCGGAACAATTTATGTCATATATGTAGGTTCATGCTTTATCTGTATGTGATACCTTTCGCTAGCGGGTACACTTTTCACCAGTGCTTGCTTTGTTTAAATTCTTTTTAATTTTTTAATTCAAATACGTAGATGGTGGGGTTTGATAATTATGTTTTTTACATACAAAATATCATTCATAAAATTTATTCTGCATGTCCAATTCATATTTGAAAGGGAAACATGATCTGTATGGTACCCCGTTTGGTAAAAATCCGGAAACTAGTTTGTGGCTTGTCGTGTTAATATCTGTGATATGTTTGTCCCTAACGAATTTTGTGTTGACGAGAGATCTTTAATTTGTAGTCTCAGTTAAATTTACTGATACGTTTCTAAATGAGAGACCTGCATATGAAAATTTTGTTACTTTATAATTCATGAATATATATATATATATATATAATGTTATCAGATAATGACGAATAGTTCATCAAGCACAGTTGTGTTGGAAGACATATTTGTATATCCTGGAAAATTTCGAAGTTCTTTTTTCATGAATTGTGAATTGCCAGAAACTCGACGTAGACGGTCTGCAGATGATAGCAAAGTTGTAGAAGGATATGATATTTCAATATCAAACAATGGACAAGTCTTCACCGAACCTCTTACGGTTATAATTTTTGATTCCTTATGTTTCAAATGCAATTTAACCGAGTTGCTGTGTAATGAATTGGTAAGTAGATGTAATTTTGTTATAGGCTATAAATATAAGAAGATGTGGTATACTACAAATGAGAAAACTTCCCACGAGAGACCAAAGATCTTGGATCAAATAATGGTTATACGTGTAAATAAATAAAATAAAAAATAAGAAGCACATACATGTAATATTTAACGATCATCTAATGAATGCGGTACTGCTTAAATCTTTAAGAATCAGATTTAAACAAAAAAACCTCATAATTGACACATTTTTTGTCCCATCTTCTTTGGTTTTCTTAAAATATGCTGGACTCGTCCTGTGTCGGTTTTGACAAGTTAATAAATCGACAATATGATGACACTATTTTATTACACTTCCTTATCGTCTGTTTTATATGTACGTATAATCTAACGTTTTCTCTTATCATAGTAGAGGTTTGGAAAATGAGGATGCCATGCACAGGTTGCGTGTTTTTTTTTCAGTACCACAACTTCGGAACATGTTAAATTCATGAAATTTCTGGAATTATCTTTCTTTAGATAAATTATAGATTTGCAAAAAAAAAAAAATATATAGATCGAGGGTTTATTTTCAAGACATTTCATGAATACAACAAGTGCAAGGAATTGAATCAAAAATATTCGTACTATTATAATAATGAAAAATGTAAAGTGTGTTAGGAAATAAACATAGTCATTAACACTGTACACGTATTGTTCTTTTAATATAATTGGAAAATCTGCATTTAAAGTATTGCTAAATGCTCTTTAGTAATGATCTACAATACACATTCCGCAATAAAGGGAATTTTAATGCGTGAAACTGCACCGGTTTATTAGACACTACCTACTGTAAAACAAACGCCACAATATACATCAAGAAACTTCTACTGAACCAAACACGATGTCCTGTTTAATCATCAGAAAGAATAAGTATTGATATCATGACAGTTAAACAATTTATATCTCCAATAGTATTTCTCACTACACGTATACAGTTTGTAGAACGACAAACTCAAAAATGCATATTCAAATTAAATTTACAACAAAAGTGCAAAATACTAACACAATATTGGTGGTAACATACAATCTATTTGGATGAAGTCACGTAAACAATATATGTGTACAGTATCATATAAATTTGTAATTATCATCTATATAAAGTAAACGTTTTGTAGGATACATGTCCACGAAAACAAGAAGGTAAGTTTTACAAACCTGTAGATTTTAAGAAAAAAACAACAACCAAACCTTAATCAGATCGCCTCGAAATGATGATGCTTCACAAAATTGCAAAATCTACAATTCTTAAGATTGGTTGTGCCGAATGATTTATCTCCACAAACGATATTTTAGTTTTATTTGTCTCGTATATCTAGAACGATTTGAAGAACACATTCAAACATTATATCAAATTCCATTTGATAGCTTCTCCTATACAAAACCATATCAAGAAATAAACAATATTATTTTCGTAATGCTGTAGCGTATTTTCATTGCGTGCAGAAGGGCATGGGTTCAAGAAAAGACTTGCCACTATTTTCATCTACGCTTAACACCCTGTATGTAGTATGAGAAGTAAGAGGAAATACTACATTTAAATATTGCGTCCGGACAGAGTAAAATGTATACCTGCTGACTATTACATTATGAACACGCGCGTTGAAAGTCTGGCTGAGTGGGACCAAAACGTACAAGAAAGGGATCTTCTTTTTGTTCTTTCTTCTGCATCTATTTTTTTGGAGTCGGAGTCCCATGTTGGTGATTGGAATTTTTTTTGTTAATGTCAAGTAATGTAATCACAAAGTGCTTTATATATCTCAATGATAAACTGTATGTACAATGTTATACACAAAGTCCGGCTCAATTATGATCTGAAAAAAAAAGCGAAGGAAGTACGTTTGACAAAAAGAAAGGCTCATGGCTTTAAGGTTTTTCTCTTTGTCCGCATTGATACCATGTCGATGTATTTTTTACCATATTAAACTATAATATTATAATTTTATGTTTTCAAACAACAAATTTTTTGAATAATTGGTTATCAAATTTTATTTTAATTCCTCACACTGACATCAAAACAATTTGATATAATCAGAACGCAAATTGACCCGAGGCTATTCGTAACTTGAAAAACAAATCGCAGGATTTGAAATTGTGCAATTTGAATGTATACATATGAAAATGAAACCTTTTGGGAAGTAATTTATTCAGGCAATGTGAAAAATACCCTTTTACGTTGACCCATTATTGAATCCGTGTCAATTTGTCGTATCTACAATTCCATTTTTCTATCCACAAATACGAATTTTTGCGCGAGGTATACGCATTTTGTAGTTTATGATTGTTCTTTGCCCCAATCCCTTGTGATAGTTTCTTATTTTTTGGATAGAACCGGCCAAATCATCTTACAAAAACAAATTTGTGGTTCCAGGAAAGCTTTGGTCTTTCAGAAATGTCACCACGTGCTTTTCGAACTCAAACGTTTTAACACTTGTTTCCTCTGTTTATTCCAGTTTAAGTTCTCTCTATCTTGTCAACTCCTACATGTGAACACTATCTTTATTTTGCGGTATCAGATCTTTCGATACCAGTATAGGCGTCTGTTCTGTAACTTTACTGATTGAGTCTTTTTCAAATTCTCGATTGTAACATTTTTACTGAGTGTGGATTTGCATGACCGGTGATGCGTGCAGAGCAGGAGACGCTTATCCTGTCAATACACCCTGTCGCGCTCCATTCTGGAGTTTATGCGATTCCCTCAGTGTTTGTCTGTTACCTTGATTTGTCTATTCTTTATCGATTTACGAAATTTTAACATTGGTAAAATACTTTCGCCTCAATCTATACTATTTTATACCTAAGTTACTTTCAAACGTATATGAGAAATGAACATGAATGCACTTGTATACTCATTTATGCTATCTAAAAAAATTGGCGCAAATGAGTATTCATGTTTGCAACAAAAGAAATACAACATTGTAGTGCAAATGAATTACTCCATTTTTCTAAAATTAGCGCAAATGCAATTCGCCCATGTTTGTTATAAATAAACCTGTAATTTATTTACAATCAATTAATCAATATTTTGTAGAAAGAATGCAAATACTTTAGGGAAAATAATTTATTGGTTAAGTTTACGAAATAAGAAGAAATTCAAATTTACCTTTATGCTTAAATAGGATTTTCTCAACTGTTATTTCAGAGCCTACATCGTCAAAAGATTCAAAATCAAAGTATCTAGCAATTTATATTGGTGTACCTATTTCAGTTGTTTTCTTAATAGTGGTATTTGTGTGTCTGAGGAAGAAACTACGACCAAGGTAACTAGTTAACAAATATCTAATACTTATATATCTTAGTTGAATAATTGTCCGTTGATATTATTAATTTTAAATATTTTTCTATTGCGTAACTTTAAAACAGCACGTTTTCTTGTGCAAAATCAAGACTTGAAGATTGGGATGTGAATAAGAGGAATCTGCGATCATTGAGACCTACCCTAACATTGTTACAAATAGTTTGGTAAATTCTAAAGTTAGCCTATGATGAATTATCCGTATTTGCTTTACAGAAATAATCAGTTTAAGGACTTGTTCAATAATAAAATTGACTCGAAAATTCTAAATATTAATTCTAGCATACAAACTTGTTCAAATTTAGGAGCTTGAAATTCAGTGGTTATTGTTGGATGTTGTCGGTCATAATCGTTTTACGTTTATTATTTTGTCATAAGTTAGGTCGAAGGTCTTCTCATTGCATTGTTTCACAATTTGTCATTCCATGCCTTTTGTACCTGACTAAACTGTATTGATTTGGCTCATTGTTAAAGGCCGTAAGGTGACCCTTAATTACGTACATCCGCGTCATTTGGATAGTTGTCTCATTACCAATCATGCCATTTATTTAAAAAAAAATATTTATGTGATTTCAGGCAACAACAACCGTATGTGTATGATTATTTTTATCCGCTACAAACCAAAGGGGAAGGCCAACGAAATGCACATTTTCAAACAGAGCATGATTACATGTAGAAAAGATGGAACAGATAAACAACAATGATCACATTTGTGAGCCTCACAGATATCCAGTTACACTGAGATAGTTTGTTATACTTGATACCTGCGTGTTCATCCTTTTAGGGTCCAGTAAAATGATGCAATATGCGCTCACATTTTACGAATATCAAGGAAGTTATAACCAACAAGTTATTATGCATTATCGTGTTAAAAAAAATTAAAAAACGGAAGCAGTATATTATTATTTTTAAAGAAATAGCTAAAAATAAGAAAAATAAATATCAAAATGTATGGTCGTATAAAAATTGTCAGTTCATTAGCACTATATGAAAGACGAATCATGCTTATTTTTTTGTTTTCACGTGTCGTGATTATTATAATCAATATGATACATGAAGGTAAACATTTCAACTACTGTGCCAGTGTCATCATCGCTAATTGCGGACTTCAAGGACAAAATCGATCAAAAAGTCTTTATATGAATTATTAGCAATAAAAGCGCTGTTCCTTTACTTTTTGTGTGTTTTTGCTGTGCATGTATTGATTTAGTGTCATGGATGGATAACCCATATCCTTTGTTTTTCTATTATATTACCTAACACATCAATAGTTTGCCAATTTTCTATCTAAAAATCTATATGTCTTTATTACTACTGAAATAACTTTAATTAACCTAACCGGAATATTCCTAAATGTATTTAGATTCAAGTATGAAATTTTATTTTGGCTTATCAGCAACGATTGCTGTCCTGGTAAAAAAGATCTTTGAGATAAAATGCAGTATAAATTGTTCATAACTTAGACAGAAGCAAACATGATTAGAATGATTTTGACCTGAATTATTATTCATGCATTTAGAATATTGTTTGCAATCTCTATCTTGGTCTATCAACCAAGATTGCTGTCGCGTCTAGAAATAGAACGTGGGAACAAATAACCAGAATAATCCAGTCGTTACATTCCGTTGTACTACGATTACTTCATAAACACTTGAATGCATAGATAATGACAAATCGTCAATGAATCATTCGGAATAAGCTCGGGATTTACCTATGTCTATCAAATGGAGCTGTCACCTCTCCTACAGGCCACCAATCAAATCCAGGATTTGTGAAGAGGTTTTAGTGTGCTAAGAATTCAGGCCTTTGCATGCCAAGTAGAAGAGATCGATTACGGGGAGGGACTGAATTATTCGGGTTAGGAGGTAAAATACGTTAGTTGATACGTAACATGTTTATTCTTTAAAGACAAACATAATTAGAAATGCGAAGGAATGAATAATGTGAAATAGTAATGTATGATACGTAATATCTACACAGACTAAACAAAACTTAAAGCAAGGGAACATTGCCTTCATTGCAATGCTTCATCTCAAAGTAACTACATGTAAGAACCCTTCAAATTCAACACAAAACCCCTCACTGCAATATTAATTCGAAGACCGTCTCCAGCACCGGTGTGAGTTTTATATTTTCTATATATTGATAACGTTAAATTACGTCTATGTTGTTTGGAATACTATACAAATTAAGGACTATATCCACAAAAATGCAGACATTAATTGACAAAGAAATCTGATATAAATAATGCCAATGTATTAAACATTAATCAAGATGTGAATGTATAAACTACAAACATGAAGACAACCGATGGTCACATACAAATATTTTGCGCATAATCTTATCGGGGATAAACTTGTTTCTTTTTTGTTTACTGAACATTAAATCAATAAATACAATCATACACAATCTTCTTGTATTCATCACGACAGAGAAAACGTGAAGTGATTCACATATGAAGATTGGATCTCAAGAATGTAAACCCATAAATGTAGAAATATGAGAATATAAACTTAAAGTACGCGGAAAGATTTTTAGAGTTGCACACAGCATATGAGTCAAACTCTGTCAAAAAAGTCAACATGTATTGAAAACAGTTTTCATGCAAAATTGACTGACGATTTTTGAGGAAGCTATTGACTTTTGATAACGAGTTACATTGCTTGATGTTTTATTAAAAAATCTTATTATTACACAAAAATGGCATAAGAGAACTGCAGAAAGACAACCGATAAACAAACGAACATGTTTTTGGAGAACACAATCTTAAAATTCTTCTAGGGAACTTCAACTCAAATAGTTAAAATTACTATTAATGTTCTACATGTATTGCTAGCATTTATTATCAGATACTAACTGATCGTTTATATAACCTTATCATTGGTTCGCCACAATAAATAGAAAAGTCACATTCTTTTGTCAAAGTAGGGCTACTTTCACAAATATTCTAATGTGAGGGAGTGAATAAGTGGTGTAACGCCTAACGCAGGGTTACAAGAATATGATTTGGTGTGTGTCTATCCTTTTAAAATAATTATCTTCTTGTCAATAATTAACTGTATCTTAATTGTTTTCGTGTGTTCGATCATGTTTATCTGTTCTCAATTCAAAAGTTGTCTTTATATCCTTTGTGGTACTCTTTTAAGCTTTAATAGTTCATTATCAAGATTTTAGCCTATGGACATATATTGAGATACTATTGATTTCAATGATATAATATGGAATAAATAAACAGAAAGCATACATGTACATAAGAATTTATTTCAATGTTGTAACTTTTCAACATCTATACCTGGATTATGGCCGCAGTATTCAAGTGCTTTAATATTGACATGATTTAAGGACACCAAATATACCACGTTTTATAATGAATGTAGAGGCATGTTTCGTTTGCTCGTAAAACCCACCGATTGACCTCTAAATAAAACAGTTTGACGACCAAACCAAAGCCGACGTCATAGAACACAAAACACAAAAATCAAATCAAGAAATTGGTTCCTAAATCCAACAAACCAATTATGCTTACAATTATGGTTATAGTTGTTCTGTATACACCCTTTAGAATTGATATTAGAACATTTTTGTTTTTGATTGTCTGTTTTTCCGGGTCTATTTGCTGTGTGTTGTCCCATATTTTCGGTAACACCCGTACCTAATGAAGGTTTTTCCCTTATACACATTTTGTGTTAACATGTATGTATCAGAAAATAGCGTTATACTGTTTCGAGTGTTTATACTCCTTAGTACATAAATTTTAACACCACATGCATTTTGCCGTGTCACTGTTCGATTATCATATACCATACATCTCATTTATTCATAATGATACCGATTTTTATATTAATTAAATGAGATGTGGGATAAATCTAACTAACGTAGTACCCTAACACTAAGGATTTACCACCCCAGGAATAGATTACCTTAGCTATTTTTGGCAAAACCTTTAGGAATTTTGGGTCATCAATGCTCATCAATTTTGTACTTTATTTGGCCTTTTTAATTTTGTTCGAGCGTCTTTTGTTGACGAAACGCGCGTCTGGCGTACACAATTTCAATCCTGGTATCTATGATGAGTTTATTTACCCCTTTCCCAATAACCGCTTCAGTAGCAAACACATTAAAAAATGCAAAACATAACCTTCAACTCCCCCAAAAAATTAAAGAAAGCCCTTATAGACTTGTTTTTCTGTTTGAGTCTCCCTCAGGAGCATAACCAACTTCGCCACTGTCAAAAGCACAAAAAGCTTGGGTTATATCCTTAAAATTTTCGGTGTTATCATTTAATTCAATTTTGTTACCTTCGAACGCCATTTATCTAATTTCTTTACTTTCGGCTTCATACATTGATATGTACCACGGAGTTCGTTGCCCAAACTGTTTATTTTGTCAGTGATTTTGGTGTCCACAATTAATTCTTCATCATGCTTTCGAAATGCACATCAATGTTAAGCTTTTTCGTTGAATATGCAGAAAATTCGTTCTGATATTCGGTTCAGAAAATGCATTTATAGCGTTAGTAGTCAAAGACACTGATTTCCAAAAATATCTAAATCAACATTTTTTTTATTTGTTCCAATTTACACATTTTAAGCTTGTTGGAGATAAGCATATAACTTTAATGGCAATATATCAAACATACAATCTCCAAGTTAGACCATTATTATCATCATATGCTCTTTCAATTTCCTTATGAAAAAGTAAAGAAATTAAGAGTCTTCATAAACATCTACCATTAAAATCTCTGTCTTCCAAATTGTAGTTTAATTATAATTATTTATTGATCTAAATTTGGTACATTACATGCCATGTTGAAAGAATGTATATTTATAAAAATAAGGAGATGTGATATGATTGCTAATGAGACAAGTATCTATTATCAATACGGCCTTCAACAATATGGCAAATCTCATAGTTGGGCGGCTTTAAAAGATAGTAAGATAATAAAATGTAAAATGAAGATGTGGTATGATTGCCAATGATGTCATTCTAGACCCATCAGAGACCACATGATGTGTATGAAAGCAACTATAGGTATGATTGCCAATAAGTGAGCTATCTACCCGAGTCCAAAGGACAAAGATAATGACATCTAAAGGACACGGTAAGGTTTTTGTTAATGAGAAAATCGCATACCGGATAGAAAACTATGAACGGCCCCTGTATGTCAAAATATGAAACAATTAACTCATAAGGGAAAACCAACAGCCTGATGTATGCTAAAAACAATTAACGACAATTAACGAATAACATGCTTTCTGACTTGGATTAAGCATATAATAAATGTGGTTGGGTCAAACATGTATGTGAGCACTTAACCCTTTTCAAACCTGGGACAGTGGTGTAGTTACACAACACAAAAACAAATTGTAAAAAATCAGCTTCAAAGTGTTCGACTCCGATCGACATGAAGCACAACAAAAAAAAAAAAAAAAATAACAAAAGACAAGAAACGTTGCTATTTATTTTTGTTTGAACACGTATGTCTGTTTTTTTTTTTTTGTTAATGGTTGTTATTTTATCAGGTTTTACCAAGTTTGTCAAGTTATTTTGTCATCTCGCAAAATTTTTCACTTTAGTGGGTTTATGTTTATGGTTTGGATGTTTCTTCTTTGTATACGAGAAGACCACTCAAGCGTATAGTAAACAGACACTTTCATAATCGATAAATAGCTTATGGGATCGTTAAACTACTTAAATTTTTGCAGAGAAAACTTTATGATGACCGCAGTAATGATTTAGGAAATAAACTGATAATCTACAGACAATGCAAAAGAAACTGTTCCATGGAACTACATATCATACAAATTATTCAACGTTGCCATAGACGTGTCAGGGCCCTCTGCCGTACACACTCACTCCCGTTAGCCATTAAGACTAGCAAATAGTTTAGGTCGCCATACCTATTGACGATTGGCTTTGCCTTAACTAATTGTACTGGTAATTGCATTGAATCTGAAAAACATTTTTTTCTATTGCACTGCTGTTTGTATAATGACTAACATTGATCTGTATTCATACTGTTCACCACATACTGAATATTTTGGAAAGATTATTTAAATTTTTACAAATCATGAACTGTTCAGATATTTGCATTTTTTAAAAGTCATACAAGTTCTTCATGCAACGCAAATGTATGGTAGAATTCGTGTCCGGTTGGGATTGTGCCTTCATTT